AACCCGGTGTACGAATGTTTACGGTTTATGGTTGGAAAAACGGAAACTGGTATTTTCGGACAGCATCTTCGATGGTCGTATCAATGCGCTGCATAGTGGTAGGATTTTAAGAAAGTTATGTTGTGGGCTTTACCACGCGCAACACACGGTCTCAAATAGCGGTCGTTTTCTGCCGTTTTCTCACATTTTGGTGTGTAAATTAGACTTACATTTTTTTAGTGTTAGTCGGTAGCTATCGAATTTGAGCACTTCTGGTTTCCTGACGTAATCATTCACCTTTAACGTTCGAATTTCATATGCGTTGTCTGTGATTCTAGATATTTAGCGAATGAAAACTTGTCTCCCTGTTTCTTTATCTTCCTCACAGGCTAATCAAGAAGTTATATTAAACCGTCCCTCGGAAGTTTCTGATGCTCGGTTTATGCATTCTTTTAACAACACGTCCGCTGTTTACGATTTACTGGCTATTGCCTTGGCTAGAACGGGAAATTTCGTAATTCTGTCTCGTGTAAGTATTCTTTTTTTGTATCCCTTTCGTCAGGTGCACTTGTTCTTGTATTTTTCTTCCTTTATAATAGTGGTAGTAATAATTTCGCGGCTCACGCCATGTCCAAATGATCACTTAGTGGGCAAGCTTATTTGAACATTGGTGGTGATATCCTGGCCTCATTGCATTCGCAGTTGCCACGAGTTTCACTGCCCTAAGTGATCTTCCATTTTGTGCTCAGGCGCATTAAGATACAGACAGGAAATCTAAAATGTTGTAAGATTGTAATCTTTCTCATAAACGATGCAGTTCCGTGTGTTTGGAGGCTACGTCGCTCGTTCTTTGTTAGGCTATGCGCATCCGTTTGTAGTACTGATGTCTTTAAGCTCAACGGATGAGGTAATTAATATCAAGTCAATTTGTTCCGGTTAATGCGGAATGCCGTTTCTAGTTCCTCTCGCGATAGGGGTTTCTTGTACTAACCCTGTTAAACTCGCCCAACTCACGACATTCCTCTCGTGGAGCTTAAGGATGATGGGAAGCCATTTAAAAATTTTATTGACTGGATGAACCAATTTAGATAAACAAAGAAGAATCCTTTTCCATTTATCGAATATGCAGCAAATGCACGATCAGCATTCTGGAACGGAGCCTTCATCGATTTAAGGCTTTCAAACATTCTGGGAACCATGGGAACCGTCGTGTAAGGCTCGTTGGGTGAGAGAGGTGCACCAGCCATCGCACTACGTCAAGGTGCAGTCTCGTCGTGATGGCAGACCGACAAAAGTACGGGCCCCAGTTTCGAACGCCAGCGAAAAAAAAAACAAGTGTTTCCAGACTGAGAGACATGCGGACATCATCTTGACGCATAAAAACAAAGTCGTATCTTCAGTTTCATAAATATGACAAAGAACTCCATTGTTCGCTCATTGGTGGAAGACTGCCATGTAATTCAAGTCACAACAGGTGAACTTTATTGGGGTTTAACAACCTGACCTTCTGGTTGGCCAAAGTCTTGCTAAACCGCAGGACAGTGCGTCAACACCGCGCTCTATTTGGAGCCACTGCTTCGTTCACCGGATCAAACACCCTTCCACTGGGTCAAACGTCCAGTGTGTCCAATTTATATCGAGCCGATGACCACTGCTACAACCAAGATGTTATGTGTGTGGTTCGTACGTCTCTTTTTCGTTGGTTTACAATCAGGTTTTTGAGTCTAGTCCACTAGCCGAAGAGACAGCAGTTCGTTGATCCGGTTGTAGCCTCCGATGTTTTCTCTTCATTCGCTCACTTAGGTGAAGAATGACGTTAGCCACAAGACGGCAGTGAGCAGGGCTTCCCCAAAAGGAGTACTTAAGACGCTTAGTTGTATGGAAGCAGTTTGCCAGATGCAAGGAAGTGTGACCAGGTGCAACCCAAAATTCCCAACTCCGATCACATTAGGGCTGTCTGCGGCAAATGTTCTCATGTAATCAAAAAACCTGGTGCCGTTTTAAAAAGTTAACATATCAGAAAAGTCTCTTTGGCTTGAGCAAAATGTCTATCGACAACAGAAATAGGCATCCATGTGCGAGATAAGTTCCAACCTCAATGCATCCGCAATTTCAGAAACTTCATATGTTTAACAGGACGTTGAAATATAGATATTCGATATCACGACGGAACGAAATATGTCCAAACCGTGGTTTGTGTTCCATCGCGATGCATTGTACACGAAAACGGTTTGCTCGACTTACACCAACTGGAACAAGCGTAAGTGATGACACCTCCGCATGGATTTCAGTGATTTCCAGCACAGTTTAGATGATGTGAGTTAGCAGACTTCCGTTGGACTAGATACTATGTCGCCGTGTTTCCCGTGGTATGATGGTTCCGAGTTTTTGCGAGTTTTCTATCTCCTTAGTCATTTGTGATAAGAGAACGCACATTCGATGCAGGAATCATTGGGATGAGCATCTTTTGACTTTTGAAGCGGTGTAGACCACATTTGCATTCTACTTGATGTTCCCAGATGATTCCGCTTTGTCTCGTTAATACTTCTCTATATTTATTTTCGTTTGTCCATGAGTAAGTTTCTAGACGATTGTTTGTGTTCCAATGTTCCATGTGTTCCATGTCTTGGGTAAAGTGATTCACAAATTTCGGGCAAGTAGCTTATCATTGGATAACAGAACTATCTACTATAAAAACAGAATACCTATCGACTGTTATCCAATGACATATACACTGAACACAAAAGCGCTGCCAAAGTCGAATGCTCTGCCTTGGTAGCCATTGTTTTCATTTATCCATATCCATTTTGCTTCAAATTTTGGTCTTTTTCATCTCAATTCGTAACACCACATCTGCTATTTTATGTGTTGCAAAATGTTGTATTGTTTTACGATCTAATTTTGAACAGACTCTTGAAAAGTCGCTGAAGTTCTCTTATCGGGAGTTCCATATTTGGTATCAGTTCGCCCTCTCGTTGATCAGTGCTCGAAAGGTGAGTGAATTGTGTATGTCAAATATTATTAGTAGGTGATCCTTATACTTCTGTTCCAGAAATGGTCCCCATTTTGTTTTCTTCTCTAATATATTTTAATCCTCGTAGTGGAACACCACCGTCCGCGCTGCATTACACCAACGTTTTGGTGAAGACGGACAAACAACGCCAAAATTACTCGCAGTTTTATGTCATTGTTGTTGCGCTGTGAAGCAAGTGCTCAGTTTTCTTAAGTTATGATGGCTGGAGCATTTGTTGTGTTTGTCACCTAATGGGTTTCTTCCTCGTGCGATCTTCGTTGAAGCAGATTCTGGTAGGAAGAAAATCAAAGACCTAAAATGAGGGTATGTAAAATCCTTACCGCTGACTTTGTCATATAGGGCGTGTTAGGTTTCTGCTTTAAGGACATTTTAGGCAATGCATTTGTTGATCATTTATAACCGTCAAATGTAAACAGTGATACTCGTGCATTTTGTCAATTTCTTCGCTGATATCGTATACTTGAATTCTTGGTATTCACCTTGATGTCGTTCCCTGATGTCTGTTTCTTCAGTCTAATCCTTAATCAGGATTTATCCAAGTTGGTTGACAACAATCAAAGAAAATGCAAGGTTAATTGTTGTATAAACTGTAACTGAAACAGTGCAACTCACCTCCTATGCCACTTTGACTACAGGACCGTTATTCAAGAATTTTGATTTTTTTAGCTGTTTCGAAAGGCGATATGTATCATACGCTGTGCGATAAACTAAGTCCGTGGCCTAAGGAGATCATCCAAATCCACTGCAGTAAAGTGCAAGGTTAATAGTGGCATTGACTGAACTGAAGGGGGCTTTACTCAGAACATGGAATGGAAAGAATCATCCGCTTTGACAGCCACAGAACACCCTCTCCGTCATACTTTTTCGACTCATGCTCCACACGTCCACCCAATTTGGTTCTAAAAGGTACGGGCAGCGCTTTGTGTGAGACGTTAGGTAGTAGGCTGTTTTGGCATCACTCTGCGACATCTATCCCAACTAGGCTTTATTTAGTTTACTACCCGGAGCTTCAAGACTCGGGTTTTCGTTGTTTATATCTGATTAGTGGATTCCTGTTCATATAAAGTTTACCGTAAACAATCGGCGTATGATGGTGCTTTACAAT